TGGAAGCTGTTTGCTATATCGCTCAGCTCGGCATCGCTCGGCGAGAACCATCGAGTAGCATCTCGGATCACCTTTGAGAGAAATCACGCCCGAAACCGACAAATGCACGTGTTCTCGGCGAGGACCGTCGAGGAGCATCTCGGGTCATCATGGGGAAGATACACGCACGAACCCGAAAAGTGCACATGGAATGGACGTCCGAGCGATGGCGAGTCTGGGACGCTGCACTTCCCTCCGTGGCAGTATTCGATCTGCCTCGCGTTGCGCAGCAGTCAGGAGGAGCTGTGCGTGGAGCTCAAAAAGACATCTCACGCGAGCCAGGGCTGATCCGAACCCCCGGTCGGCGCCGGACGGGAAAAAGGCGGCGATGACGATTGCGCAGACGGCGGCGGCGACGCCAACGACGAAGGACGGCCCGTGACGCCCACGGCGACGACGATTGCAGCAGGGGGCCGCGACAGCGACGACTGCTACGACGGCGGCAACGTGGGGGGAACAGCGACGCCGACGACGAAGGGCGGCGACGGCGACGGCGGCGGCGGCGGAGGACGGCGACGCCGACGACAGAGGACGTCGACGACGAAGGCGAGGACGACGGCAGCGAACAGCGGCGACGGCCGGCGCCGAGGCGTGGAGGCGCTGCCCGCCGCCGTGCTCGACGAGGCGGGGGGCGGGCGCCCTTCCGTATGGCTGAGGGGCGGCCGGCGGCCGTCGCGCCGCCCTTGTGGTAACGGTGACGGTGGTGGTGACCGTGATGAGATGACTATAAGGGCATCACCGCGCGGCTGCGTGCCGACACGAACGCCGCCCAGCTATAGGAAATCGCCAACAAGGATTTCCAATTGTGGCGCACGCGGGCGCCCGAGCGCCTGTCTGACCTCGACCTGGGCAACGTCGTGCTCGTTCCCCGGTTCGGCGTCGAACAGGGCGTCAAAACCGTGTGATCATGATGAGGGTAATTTGTAATAACCGTGATGACGACGATTATCAGGACGCCAATGATGATGTAGAAGAGGGTGATAATGCTGACGATGGTGACGATGATGCTGGTGGTGATGATGAGGAGGAGGAGGAGGATGGTGATAGTAATGAACATGATGCTGATGATGGTGATACTGATGACGATGATGTTGGTGTTGATGATGTTGCTGATGATGGATATGATGACGATGATGGTGGTGATGATGATGGTGATGATGACGAGGGTGATGATGATGATGATGGTGACGATGACGTTGATGCTGATGGTGAGGGTAACTTAATGGTGACGGCGAAGTTGATGATGTTGATGCTGATGATGATGGCGATGATGATGATGATGATGATGATGATGATGATGATGATGATGATGATGATGATGGTGATGGTGATGGTGATGATGACGACGGTGATGGTCATGATGCTGATGACCATAACGGGCCGAATATGATGGTGATGTTGATGCTAGTGATGATGATGGTGATGGTGATTGTGATGATGCTACTGATGACGATGGTGATTTGACTCATGATGACGGTGACGATGATGGTGATGGTGTTGATTATGACGATGACGATGGCGTTTGTGGTGGCGACGACGAGGATGACGGGATGGTGATCAGAATGATTTTGGTGGTGATGGGCCCCCTTTCGTCGTAAAACAAAGAAACACGACGGGACGTGTTCGGCCATTTTCGGCCTCCGGGGTCTCCTCCATGATTTTGCGGGGCCGACAAAAAGCGGCGTAGGGTTCCAGAGCTCTGGGGGATCTCTCTGCAAAGAAGCGACGACGTCGGACGCCAGGGATCCCCCTCATCAGCCGCCAACAAAGCGGGGTAGGGTTCCAGAGTTCTGGGGTCCTCTCCGGACTTCTTGACAGACAACAAAAAAAACGACGACGTCGGACCCCCTTTCGTCAGCACTCCTCCCTCAGAGGAGCCCACAGGGAAGCACTCCTCACTCAGCACTCCTCCCTCAGCACTCCTCCCTCAGCACTCCTCCCTCAGCACTCCTCCCTCAGCACTCCTCCCTCAGCACTCCTCACTCAGCACTCCTCACCACCGCCACGGAGAACCCACAGGGGAGGCCGACCCCTGAGCGGTGGCACGCCCGGGCGCTCGGGCGTGGCACCGCCCTGGGGCTGGGCCCCCCGATGGGTTCTCTGCAGCGGCTTGCCGCGGCGGTGGTCTCCCTGTTGCTCTGCCCCCTTTCCATCGGCAAGGGAGCGGCCGTCCGCGAGGCTGCATTGCCATCGCCTCTGCAGCTGTTTGGCACAACGCGCTCAAGCGTCGAGGCTACGTGCAGGGTTGCTGGAGTCCTGCAGTGCCAAAAGAAGTCCCTGAGTTGGGAAACGTACTCGCTCTTTTCACTTGTTCCAGTCGCTGCGACGACGCCCGCCAGGCAGCGCGGATGGGGGAGCTGGAGGGAGAATAAGGAAGAGGAGGTTGGGCGCCGCGTAGTCAGGGGGCGATAAGTGAGGGGGCAGTGGGGGCCGCGGAAAAGGGGCCCTTTCTAGGGCCCTGTACAGACAGTTTGGTAATGCTGGTACGAAGTGAGTGAGCCTGAGTACGCATGTCTCCACGCACGTCTGCGCCTGCGCGGTCATACGGTCCAGCGGGCGGGGCGGCAGGGGCGCTCGGGCCGCCGGCGCTTTGGCTCCAACAGCTTCCCTGAGAGGCGCCAGCTTCGCGGAAGGTCGTTCCTCTTGACACCGCCCCTGAGCATGCGTCCTCCTGGGCAGCAGGAGCGGTGTTGCCACAGACTCCGTCAGAAGACGGCAGCGAGGGCGGGTGTTGCTGCTTCGCGGTGGCGCACGGAGCCCTGTGTGGACATCCAACCATTGGGGAGCCTCGCGCCTGTCCTTGCCGCTGGGGCCGTGGCGCTGGTGATCCCGAGATGCTGAATGGCCCATCTAAGGGTCTCGACGCGCCCTCGGCGGTTTCTCGCTGGAAAAAACGCAATTTTAGAAAACCCAACATGGTTTTCGCCGCGCGGGTGCGCTTTCTTCGGGGAAGGGGGAGTTCGGAGCCGACCCTGTACATGAAGATGGCTTCCTGGACTCGCAACGTCGGAACCATAGCGGAACCAGGCTGGATCCAAGCAGGAACCAAGTGAATTTAGAAAACCCGGTGAATTTAGAAGGTTTCGTGACCTGTGCAACGTCGGAACCATCGTGCCGAAACCAAGCTGGAGCCAAACCAGAACCTGGAGAATTCAGACGGTTCCGTGACCAGTGCAACGGCGGCACCATCGTGGAACCAAGCTGGAACCAAGCAGGAGCCATCAGGAATCTTCTGAATCCAGAAGGTTTCGTAACTTAGGGAACGTCGGAACCACCGTGGAAGCAGGCTGGAACCAAGCAGGAACTATGCGAATTAATGCGGTTTCGTGACCTGCGCAACGTCGGAGCCATCGTGGAACCAAGCTGGGTCCAAACAGGAACCATTTTATGTCATGTGGATTTCGTGGACTTGCAGCTTCGGAACCATCTTGGAACCAAACTGGAGCCAAGCAGGAACAATGTGAATACAGAGGGTTTCCTGAACGTCGCAACTTCGGAACCTTCGTGGAAGCAAGCCGGAACCGCCGCCCTCGGACGCCGGACCCCATAAAACGACATGAATCGACGAGGGCGAGTTCGCTGGGCACTCTCCGATCAGAATATGGATTAAAAGTGGCCCACGGCCCATCCGCGCTGCCCCGCCGCGGACGGGGGGGGGGGCATACTTCTAATTCGTTCTATAAGAGGGCCGCTGGGACCCGGGCCATCGCCCCTGGCGGCTACCGCGTCGGAGAGGGGGGAGCTCGGTACGTCGCGGCCCCGTGCGCGCTCCGGGCTGGGCCCGGTGACCGCCAGGGCCTGCCGCCAGCGCCTTCCCACCCCAGAGTTGAACACATATTGCATGAAGCCCTCCCGCCCCAGAGCTGAGTAATTTTTTACGAGCCCCCCCACCCCAGAGCTGAGTAAATGTCTAGAAGCCCCCCACCCCAGAGCTGAGTAAATGTTAGAAGCCCCCCCCCCCCGCGCTCGGCAAATCTTTGGAAGCCCCCCCCCCAGCGCTCTCCATCCCCTGGTCGCCCTCCCCCCCGCTGCCTTCTCCGTCGTGCGGACCCCGGGATTCTTCTTTGGCTATAATTCATATTAAATAGAGGTGGATTGGTCGGATTGGATCCCCTCCAGCACCCCAGTTTTTCATCAGTCCAGAAGGTCGGATCCCGCAACAGCAGACTAGACCCCAATTAGATCCCCAGCGGATCCCCACCCGAATCCCCAGGCCCGGATGCCCGCGCCATGGTTCAGAACCTTGGCCCTTCACCGTTTGCAATGCTCTCCTGGGGCCGAGGCTCCGCGCCTTGCTCGAAAGCTGCCGACGACGTTCGTCCTCTGGGCCTCATCGGCCGATCTTTGAGGTCGTACCAAGTTACCTAACCGTTTGTAAGGAGCCCTGTAGGGCCAAAGGGGGAGCCTGCAAGATCTGAAAATTACACCTTCCTTCCCCCCCCATTTATCGCACCCCAAAAAAGCGACGCCCAGGGGAGGGGGTGGAGGGAGGTCGCTGCACGACGCGTTCAGGGGCAACGTTGGGGGGAGGCTCTGGGGGGGTTCATCAACCACCATTATCCCACCTATCGCCGATCGGGCCCCATAGCCCCTGTCGTACCCGTCCATATATATATATATATATATATATATATACATATGCCGCGCGCGGCTGCCGTTGCCCAGGTCGCCATCGAGCCCGCAAGTTGGCTCCTTCGGGCGGGGCTGGGACGAGGATAAATCCGCCCCAGAGCGTCCCGGATAGCTCTGAGAAGGCCACGGCGCCCGAGACATCTTCCAGAGCCGCCGGATCTCGGAAATGTTCGATTTATCTTCATTCATGTTTATCCTCTTCCTGGCTTCGTCATACGTCTCATTGGGGCTTTTGGCGGGCGCCCAGCGCGCCAGCTGCCACTGGCGCGCGGTGCGCGCCCCAGGCTTGGCGATCGAAGCCTCGCCAGCACCGCTGCTGACGGCGACGCCCGCATCGCCTGCACCGTACCCTAAGAGCCCCGTCGGAGGGCGTGTCCTTGGCCCGTCATGGCTTTAGGGCCCCACGAGGCAGAATATTGCTTGGCAGCGGTCGGACGTGTTCATTTGTTCTCGGCGAGGCCAACGCCACAACATCTGAACCATCATGGAACATCCTGGACCATCTTGAGAAATCAGCACGCGAGAAGCCAAACCATGCACGGGAAATGGACGTCCGAGCGATGGATTGCGCAGACCCTCCTTGTTTCGGCTTCGGCTGCGCACAGTCAGCCCCCCCCCCCGGGTAGCCCTGGCAGGGCCACGGGAGATGCTTGTTTTAATTATCTTCTTTCGCGTCACAGCGGTCGTTACCCGGCCCCCCTCCTCCCCCCAAGTAGCGGTAACGATCGTACGTATGGGGAGGGTCTTGGGCCACCCCGCATGCTGGCGCTCGCGCGCATATTGAGTGTGGCGATCGCAGCGCACACCCGTCCCGACGCGCCCCACCCCGCCCGAGCGTTCCCTTACCCCGGGCCCCCCCTGGGGCAATGACCGTAACTTGAACCGGCACGAACGAAATCTTTACGGAAAGATGGGTGCAATGCCCAACAGCAGTTCCTGTTCATTTTGAGCAGGACATGTTGTCCGCGCCACCGCGGTTTGTGACCATTTGGGACAGAAGGCCGCCTACCCAATAGCGGCCGCTGTACCCAGTTTTCCGTACCCATTTCGGGCGTCCAAATTGAAATGCGAGTGAGCAAATTCCGCGCATTCTGGGACGATCTCAACACACCAACCTTGCGGCGCGCAGCGCCCCGAGGGCGCCACCAGAGGCGGCGCCAGGGTTCGGGGGCCTTGAGACGGGGGTCAATTCAAACGGGGATCAGCCAGAGCGCCCGATCTTGCAGGATCCTGCAGGGCCAGGGTCGCATTGACCCAGGCTTGGGCGCAGGATCCTGCAGGATCTTGCAGGATCCTTCGCAATGACCCAGGTTTGGGTGCAGGATCTTGCAGGATTCTGCAAGGCCTGACTGACCCGGGTCAGGATTGACCCGGGTCAGAAGATCCCCGAAGGGTGATGAGACTGCCCTGGGCTGCTCGGGGGTGCCTGTTGAGGCCAGCCGGGACTGCTCGGGGCCCCTCTGAGGCCAGCTGGGACCACGTGGGGGGATCTGCGCGCAACCCGGCGCCTTAACAACCCTACTGGCGTGCTTTTTCACAGCGCGAGGGGGTCCTGGACGGTCTCCCTTGCGTGCAGCCAGAGATTTCGGAGCGGGGTCTCCGATGCCGAGGTGGAGGCGGACTGCTACTGGTGCCTCACGGCCATCCTCAGGGACATCGTGGACCATTACATTCCCGGCCAGCCCGGCCTGAGGCACCGCAGAGGAGGAGGAGGAGGAGGAGGAGGAGGAGAAGGACGACGAGGTGGAGGAGGAGGAGGAGAAGGAGAAGGAGGAGGAGGAGGAGGAGGAGGAGAGGAGGAGAGAGGGAGGAGGAGGAGAGTAGGAAGAGGGAAGAGGAGGACGAGGAGGAGGAGGAGGCGGCCGGGAGAGGCAGAGAAGAAGGAGGAGGGCGGGTCGGGAGAAAGGGCGGGAGCAGGAGGAGGAGAAGGAGGAGTTGTGGGAGGAGGAGGAGGAGGAGGAGGAGGAGGAGGAGGAGGAGGAGGAGGAAAAGGAGGAGGCGAAGGGACCGTGAAGGCTGGGAGGGTGGGCGGGAACGGCTTGCCGCTTGCCCTTGCGTCCAAAGAATGGAGGTGCGGAGGAGGAGGAGGAGGAGGAGGAGGAGGAGGAGGAGGCCGACGTCGAAGAGAAGGAGCTTGGGGACGGGGAGGGGAAAGGAGAGGACATGAGGAGGGGGGTGGCGGAGGAGGCAAAGGAGCAGGAGCAATAGCAGGACGAACACGTTAAGGACGAGGGGCACGCAAAGGAGGACGACAACGAGCAAGACGATGAAGGCGAAGGAGATGGGGAAGGGAAGAGGTCATGAAGTGGAGTGGGGTGGCTAGGGATAGGGGTGGAGTTGAGCGGGGCGAGGGGGGGATGAACAGCTTTTGAGCGGAATGGGGTGGAGAGTAGCAGAGTGGAGCGGGGAGCGGAGTGGGGAGGAGGAAGGGGAGGTGATTCCAGAAAAAAGGATGAACGGGAAGAGGAGGAGGAGGGGGAGAAGGAGGAGAAGGAGGAGGACGAGGAGGACGACGACGACGAGAGAGGACGATGAGTGCTTCTCCACTGGGTATTGAGTGGGCGTCGCGGTGTTTCGTGGGCGTGTGTGGGGGGGGGGGTCGCCCGGCACGAGGAGTGGCTCGGCGAAAGGCGGACGGCGTTGCAGTTGGGGCACCCCTTGCGAGAAGCCTGGGGACGACAGGGCCTTCGCGTGCCCGGTGCGGGCCATCTTGAGACCATTTTGCATGAGATCGATGAGAGGAGCGGTCCTAGTAAGTCAGCATCCCCCCAGGAGGTCCAAATGAGGCCAATACCTTTTAGTAAAATGAATGGTGTTGGCTTCCTAGCCAAGGCCAGCTTGGACTCTCTAGCGACTCGCGAAGCCTCCCGTCCAGGGGGGTGGGGTAGGGGGAGGGGTACCCCCTCCGAAGGGGAAGAGGGAAGATGGGAGAGGGAGCCCGCTAAACCACTCACGCCCAGAGGGTTGGTGGGATGTTTCGAGGCTTTCCCGATGGGGTCGGAGTACATGGGGGGCGGAGGATCGATCCGCATCGCCGACGCATCGGCGATGCGGCTCGATGTGGAGCCCGATGTTCTCCGCGACGACGTCGCCGACGCGTCGCCGACGTCGCCGATGCATCGACGCATCACCGATGCATCGGCGATGTATCGGCGATGCGGCGCGATCCTCCGACCCCATCTACTCTTAAGTCGGGCACATCCCTCTACAGGAGGAATATTCAAAAGTAGCCATAAGACAATAGGTGGACGATGTTTCTATTATGTCTGATCATTTGTTTGGCTATGTTTCAATTTGTCGTCCAAAATCCGCCTGTTGGACAACATGCCCGACCTAAATTTACTCCGACCCCATCTAGCCTCTAATTTTCCGCTGGGGCCCTTGGAGCAGCCTCGCCTCTCGACATCGTCCTGGCCATTAGTTATCCATGGGCGCCACGGGCTTCCTGTTTCGGCATCGCTCTGGGCGCTCTCCAGGGCCCTGCGCCCTGACACTGCGCATCCCCACGATCCGTGCGAGCTGTGCACACGACCCTAAATTCGGGGCGCTCGGAGGTCCGCGCGGATTCTTCGGATCCATACATATCCACTGCTCCCTGGCCAGGCCCGTCCTGAATCCAGCAGCGGTGTGTACGCCACGCCCTCCTGGCTTGGCCTGGAGGGCGTATACACAGCCCGTGGGCCCAGGAAGGGCCCGGCGACGGCTGTGGATCTGTATAGATTTCGTCGCCCGACTACTCCCCCCCACTCGCCTGCCCGAGCCGCCGCGACATCCTCGCCCCGTCTACCCGCGCGCCGCCGCGGGGGCGGGCGCCATGGCAGTCGCCGCAAGACCAGCACCCACGGGAACGCCAGACGAGGGAGGAGGCGGGGAGGAAGGGTGCCCTCCTCCCCTCCCCCTCCCCTACAACTACGACCGCTACGATGACGACGACGACGACGACGACGACGACGACGACGACGACGACGACGACGACGACGACGACTACTACTACTACTACTACTACCACTCTACTACTACTACAACTACTACTACTACTACTACTACTACTACTACTACTACTACTACTACTACTACTAATACAACTACTACTACTACTACTACTAATACTACTACTACTACTACTACTACTACTACTACTACTACTACTACTACTACTACTACTACTACTACTACTACTACTACTACTACTACTA